ACATAAACTTCTTGGTTTTTTTGTATTTCCAGGATACTTTCACCATTCTGCATTTGCCACTGCTGTGGCAAGGCCTTAAACACCTGCAGTCCCCAAAGGCAGTCTCCACTTATGTCCCTCCTCCCCACCTCAGTCCTTATTTTAACAAATCTACAGCTTGACAACACATCACTGTCTATAGCAATTCTCTTATTTTTCTACGCAGCTCTTCAGTCACACAAATTTCTCCATCACTACTGGCTGCTCTCGGCTGGTGTTCAGCATGTTCATTTGTGACACCACCAAGAAGATGATCTTCTATACTGAGACCTTCTCCAGATACATGTAATCATGTCAACTCATGACTTCATGTAACATCTGATTCTTAGACTTTGATGTTGCCAGCCTAGGACGTGGCCTTCAGAAACTAACAATTACAAGCACGATGCTTCTGGGACAGGAGTGTATTAAAAGCAAACTAAAAATAACCTAAGTGCCTGCAAACCCTCTTGGAAGAGAGAGATTGAAACCAACAAATCCACTCTACATTCACTTTTTAACTTCAAGCACTTAAATGCAGTAACAGAAAACAAAAGAATCTCAGACCTTCTCTTACAGACATGCTAGAGGGAGCACAGATCTATTTCTAGCTTTGAAAGTCATTGAGCACAGGCAGCAGCTCTCTAGACACACTGAATTGCTCTGCTCCTCCTGAAAAATCAATGAAAAAAGATACTTGATGCTTATATAGCTGCTATTAATAGTTCTTACTCTCAAATGTTAAGCATTTGACAAACTTGTTGGGCATCTCTTCTTCTTTGGCTGACCATTAGTGTGGTTAGTGATTCTTCTACTGCTTTTTACTATCATGTTTGCTTTTTTTCCATCCCTAGCTTTAGATAGTACCGAGGTCTTATACTAGGGAATTTGGTTTTCTTCCTCAGCTGAAAACAGAAAAATAATTTCTAACAAACACTTGTGTGTCCAGTACAGAATGTTTCTTTCTAAATCCTGCCTGCCATTATCTTCCATAGCCTCGGAGACCTGCCAGACCACAGCTGAATAGGAGGTCTCCTCTGTTTTCCTTGCCCTGCTCCCCCTCAGTCCAGATGGTGCACAGCAGAGGTGACTCATGCTGTCACCTCATTGCGGATCTTAGGGGAATGAGAGAGCTCAGAACATTATTCTCCTAGTAACTGGACCACAGAAACACATACTGGGGGCTGAGTCACTGTGCCAGATTACTGCAGGCTCTTCCGACCCACTTATTTTTCTGTCATTTTGTATCATGTTTAGAAGATCTTTTGCTGTTTATTCATTATGAGCTATTTTATCTTTTTGGGGGGCAAACAGAGTCTGCTTTTAGGTTTTGATGCTGCAGCTTGAGATACCAGAAGAGAAAAGAAGAATAGACGCTTATGTGATATCTCCAAGCATACAGAGGGTTTCTTATAATAAGCCACCAAGAAACGGAAAAACAGAATTGCAAACAGTGTCAGGAATATGTGAAAGCACACTGAGAATTCATCCCTAGTTCAATGCTATTGCAATTACTGTAGGAATGGATTTGGGCTCCTAATAAGAGAAATGTTTTATCATACTCATGTGTTTAAGATTACTGGGCAGACATTTAAAGCTCAGCCCCAGGGGAAATCTGACTTATTGTAACTGCTGCTGGCTTTACTGCTGTTTTTTCTACAACATGAAAATGATTTCACAGGGACTGGCAGGAATGTACTGTCTGTTCCAGAGTTCAGCAAAGGTTGTTTGTATACTGCAGATTTTATGCAGATATCTCGAGCAGCTTTGCAGGTGCTGAAGAGTGTTCTTTCAGTACTGTCGTGGTTTAAACCCAGTCAGGCAACTCGTTCACTCACTCCCCCCTTCTTTCCCTTCCCCTTCTCCTGAAGGGACGGAGAGGAGAATCGAAAAGAGTGCAACTCCCACGGGTTGAGATAAGAACAGTTTAGTAACTAAGGTATAACACAAATCACTGCTGCTACCACCAATAATAACAATGATAAAGGAAATAACAAGGGAAGAGAATACGACATCTCACCACCAGCCGACCGATAACTCGCCCCCCCCCCCCAGCCTGACCAAGCTCTGACCGATACCTCCTCCAACCCTGCAGTCTCCCAGCCCTTCCGGCTAACTCCCAGTTACCTTCTGGGCATGACGTGCTGTGGTATGGAATACCTCTTTGGTCAGTTTGGGTCAGGTGTCCTGTCTCTGCTTCCTCCCGGCTTCCCCTCCTCCCTGGCAGAGCATGAGGCTCACAAAGTCCTTGGCCAAATCAAAACATCCTTGTTATCAGCTCTGTTCCCGAGCCGAAAGTCAAAACACTGCACTGCACCAGCTACCAAGAAGGAGAACATGAATGCTACTGCTGAACCCAGGACAAGTACACAGACCCGAAGAGTGTTCTTTCAGTACCCTATGCCATGCTGTATCTACAGGGAAAAAGACATTGCATTCTGCACAGACAAACAACCTGGCTGCTCTCCTTCAAGGAAAGCATCAAGTGCACAGCGAGCGTAACAGTGCTCTTAAATAAGCTGGACAATAGTTTTAACTTCTCCTCTTGCCTGTCTTGCACTCTGGTAGATTTGACTTACAGCAGAGTGCTGCAGAATTAGGCTCAGCGTGTTTCTCCAGCTTCTATACAGAAGGTTAAGGGACCCAAAGGAGCTTTGTTGTCTCTACTCTGCAGATTACTGCTCACTTTAAGATTCCCAAAGCTGTGTTTACTTCCTAAAGAGGCCTGACAGTAATACAGATATGCTCTCAGTCAAACCCTGCTGACAGTCCAGCTTTCAAATGAGAAATCCACTGGGATTTGGGTTGGTTTTTTTTTCCTCCCAGAAGCAGTATTAACCTCTCCTGGGTTTCCTGTACTGCTGACGTCCAAGGACCAGGGCATAACGGGGAAGGGAAAGGAAGGGCCATAGTACCAGTACAGATAGAACAGCATTCCAAGAGCTTTCTTTCCCAGGAGCTCTTCTTCCATTTTCTTTGGGGGCAGCAACGTTACTCTTGCTCAGGACAAGAAGACTGCCCTATGTTCAGTATTACTAGCAGATGTGTGATGTGCTTTATAGATACAAGCAACTATACCTCCTGCTTTCATTAAGTCAGGTGGATGAAGCCTTCACATGGTTGTTATTAGCACATTACACAGCTCTCCTTTAACCATAGCTTTTTTTTTGTTTGTTTGTTTCCCCCTAACTAGCACTATATAGTGGATGAAGCACAAAGGCTTTTTTTTTGACACAGATGGGAGGAAAGATGTTCCACATGCTTAAGGGGATTGGTACAGATGGTGGGTTTAGTCTTTGTCCATCATCAGAATGCACTAGCCTACACAGCTGGGACTCTGGTGAGATCATCTGACTTACGACTTTTGGAATTCAGATTATCACAGAGCTGTTAGAGCCCTCAAGTGCTTGGCCGCTTCTCTCCTGTGAGTTACAAGGCAGGAACAAAATTTAGGTCTCTCAAAAAAGAAGTGCTAAGAATATACATGGAGAGTGCTAGCTGTGTACTCTGCAGTCAGATTTTAAAAGAGCCAAAATAATGGGAGGAATTGCAACTACAATTGCAATATGAGGCAGTACCTTTGTCACAAATTGAGCTAAAGGGACTGTAGGGACGACTGAACATCACAGATTTGGTTTACTTGGAAACATACTGCCAATGACATTTTAAATTCCTGAAAATTCTGAGAGAAGAGCAGTGGCATTGGCTTTGGGGATGTCTTTGAGGAGGGCAGGCAGCCAAACTGATAAGAGTGAAATATGATAATTGGTATCTTTCAGATCTTCCCAGACTGAATCCCAGTCTATCCAGTACAGAAAAAAATACCCTGTGTATGTCACAGAGATGACATTTGTAGAAGCTTACTGTTCTCTTCACTAGTTGAGGATCTGGCCCCTAAATACAGTTTGAATACAGCAGCTCAATACCGAACGATTCTTACCAAGAAACTGTCATCTATGTTAACCACAGTAATTTCCCTCAAATGTATTAACAGTCATTATATTAATATGACACCCAAACTGCATGAACATTGAATAGATAAGGAGCTGTAAGGCTTGCTCCCATCCCAGCATATTTTGAATACTGATTCTCCTGAGGGATGGTGTTTAAGATTCTTAATTGATAAAGGGAATTTCAGTACCATTTAGCATGATGGATCTCAAGAGTAAAACTGGCTTTGCTTGTGATCAGCATAAATAATACGGGGAGCCCAAGAATAATCATCAGTATAAATGCCTCTGCCTCCAAATGCCCTAACACATACAGCAGTGAGCTGTGGACTAGCCCTGAGGCTATCACGCCAATCTTCCCAGTGAAAGTAAGACTTACAGGACGTATGGTGAGAGGGCTGATCCACAGCTGAGATGACGATGGCACCTAAACAAGAAAAAGATGCCAGCAATAAAGACTATTATCAGAAATATTTCACTGTCATATTTTTTTGCTACCTGCCAGGGAATAATTCAGTATAGGAGCTCTCAGGAAAAGTACCAATTTCAGCAAGAACTAAAGGTGCAGAGTTTCTGCTAATGTCAGATTTGTTTTTTCTTTAGATGTCTTCTGTGTCTTCACATTAATGGATTTTCTGCGCACATCGACGATGTGAAGCATTCATGTCAGCCATGGGAGACATTCACCCAAGGCACAAGACCTCAGAATAGTTATATGCCAAATTATAACAGTTTCCAGATCTTTGGTATCAGAGTTAAATTATTAGTAAGATCACAAAGGAAGTTGGAATATAAATTATGTCTTGAATTAATAACTCCCCAGAACCTTTCCACCTATTACTGGTTGGTCAGCTAACTTGCTATCTGTTAAAATTGGTGAATGAACAGTATCAGTATCCTAAGGTTAAACTTCTGCATTTCCAGCTGATGCAAAGGTCCCAGCAAGGGACAATATCCAGATGAGATCTGGATGTTTGCATCAACACAGGATGGAGTTTGCATGTGTCTGACCATGCTTTTCTGTTTCTGCAGGATGGATGACATCCAGCTATGTAAAGACATTATGAACCTTAAGAGCGAGCTGCAAAATTTGGTAGCAATCCCAGGTAATGGCTATTTCCCAACCCAGTCTTAGGATAATGCTTGGGTGATGCACAGGTGGGGATGGTGTCAGGAACACCCCTCTGCCCCTAACAATCAGAAACATACCCCCAAGGTTGAGTTTCATATCTCTTTCCTCCCATCCTTGTATCTATTTCCCATTTCCCTTTCCATTTTTAATCTCCTGGTCTCCGAATTTCTTTTCATGCTGTATTTCACTGTTGCCTTGAAACCTGCAGCAACCCTGCAATATCACTCAAGGTGCACATTCCTTGTACTCCCTTGGCAATCTCAAGGGAAACACATGGCATAGGAATTGTCAGGTAAAAAAGACGGTGCTGACATATCGGAGATAAAAGGCAGAAAGGAAAGGGATAACCATCACTGTCAATGTGATTGATTTTTTTTCTAGATATACCAATTCATTATCATACCTGTAGTTAAACCTACCATCTAGAATAAAATAAAAGGTTTCTATAAAAAGCAAGGGGCAAGTCTTTGTATTTTGCCTGAATTCTCTACAAAGTCACTGTTGTAGACAGCTTTGCAGTCTTTAACTCCAATCTCCAGCTGAAAACATTGAAGAATTTTGTTTCACTGCAGTTTTGCTGTTTTAGATCATCCACAACAATCCTACTCTGTTCAAGAAAAGTACAGACAGATCCTGCAAAGCCATTTAAAGTAGATCATAGAGAACTCTCACAGAGATATTACTGTATGGCCTCTTAGCACCCTTAACAAATAACTTGCTGCCGCCTGACTATTAAGGATAAGTTTTGACTGTCCTTTGGTTATCTCATTTCTCTCCCATATTTTATTCTGCAACTTTAAAAGACAGCTGTCTCCCCAGAAAGTAGAAGGTCACTTACGAATTGGGAAACGGAACTGCTCTGAGGCCACATTCTTAGTTGTATGAGAACCTTTTCCACTTTTCTTTACACTCAACAGAAGTGGATTAATAAGCTTTTTTTATTTCTTCATACTTCTTAGTTACTTATAGGTCACATTTTAACAGTGTTGGTACATTATGGGTTTAAATGGTATTGGGAAGGATTATGAATCCTAGAAAATATCTATGAATGATTCCCATTGCCTTGCCTCTTCTAGTCTGAAGCTTTCCTACCCACACTTTTAATGTGCAGTTAGGGTTGATCACAAAGTCTTAAGCAGAGATCCACAGAGAGCAGTTTCTCCTTAGCACAAATCAGGATGCATATATTTGGCAGGCAGTTTCCTGAAGGATATTACGGGAGAGCACATCTCAATCTGGGAGGAGGATGGATTGAAAGGAAACAGGAACTGGCTTCTATCTTCAGTAGTGAGAGGAGGAGATGCCTTGCTCCATAGGCGTAGGAGCCAAAGCAAAAAAAAGCAGTGATTTCAAAGCATTCTTCTTTTTTCTCTACTGCAAATTCAAATTAATCACAGGAATTCTCCATAGGAAACAGAGCCAAAGTCTTGAAATCTTTGCAGCAGTCAACCTTCCTTTATAATTTCTAAAAGATAAAACACGGACAATACATCCCAGGCAAAAAAGCTGTATATTGTATTACAAATTATTTCCTCTGCTACTGGCAGACCATAACTTAAAATTGTACAAGGAATATGACTGAGATTGAGACTTACAGAATTTGTCTTGAAAATATATTCAAGGTGCGTTTATCTAAAGGAATAGATTTATTGCAGAAGTTCCCAGCAATAAGCATCCTGAAGCCCATGATGCAAAACAATTCTTTTCAAGTACCTGATTTAGATAGCCCTTCAAAATATAAGTTCAATCAGCAGACTGCAGGCAGTTTGCCCTTCTTCCCACAACTCTTAATGTACTTATTTTATGGTTCTCTAAACAGAGTTCTACTGCTCAAAACCAGAATTCTTGATTTAATGCGAAGTGTCTTCACAGCTAATCAAAATTTTCAGCTTTTTGAGGAAATATGTAGGTTAGGATTTGCCTCTGGCTTTCTCATCTCTACTCCGCTTCCTAGGTTTGAAGATTTCTGCCTTAACTACGTTTGCTTTATAACCTTAAACTACAGCTCTGTAATCCCCAGCATTCATGAGTGTTAGTTTGTGACAGGCACATCTTTTATGTCACAAAAATCAATGTTTGTAGACAACCTAGTCATTAGACTGGCCAGTTAATAATGACATACATATATATTACTCAGATTTTTGAAACATCGGAAAATAAACACTTTGCCTTTATTTTCCCACATTTTACAGTTGATGCTGTTTATGTGGATTTAGTGCTCACCTGCCTTACAGAGTAGGCAAAAAAGTGTTGCAGTCGACAGCCAAAGCTGTCATGAAGTACAGAGAAATGGTTCCTTTTGGTATGGTCTCATTTCCCCTGAGGTCAAAGGGGGTTTGTACTGTGGGTTTTAATGAAGCATCCTAGACTGTTTTCTCACCAAAGCTCCTAAAAATTTCAAAGCAGGGTTTTGCAGAGAAATTTAATATTAAAAGGAGGCTTGGCAAGTGCCACAGTCTCCAGACCATTAAATTGCTCAAACGAAAGAGCAGCAAGAAGAGAGCAAAGAGGCAGTCACCAGAACTTCCTGGGGTTTTGGTGACTCAGGTCTGAAGAACCATTGACTTCAATCAGCAGTTCATTCTTAGGCACCTGCAATGTCCACCCTCCCACTCTGCTCCCTACAATCTAAAGTAATAGCCTCTTTTCTCTGTTTTTGACCAGAAAAAAAAAAAACTAAGATGGACAAACAAAGAGAGGATGAACTGATTCAGAAGATCCACAGACTGGTACAAAAAAGAGACTTTCTTGTAGATGATGCAGAGGTGGAGAGATTACGGTAAGAACTAAAAGCAACTAAACTTAGGGAGGTTTCATAAGTCTGGTACTATACTGGAGTGACAAAATTTACATTGACATTAATGCGAGAAAAGTGGTCCTTTAAAACAAGAAGTCAAAAGCCTCCTCCTAGTTCGACAGGAAAAACATTGAAATCAGAATTACTCTACTTCTGTGGCTCTTTAATCATGAGATGACTGAATCATTAATGGGATAGAGCAGGGTTTGGTCTCACTTTCCTACCAGAAAAATGTCTGGGCATTACCATTAAAGAGAGAAGGATTTTTGTTGCTACCAGAGGATCCTCTTGGCATGAGTAGACATGAAATAGAATTTTACAGTTTTACTTTGTAGACATCTAAAATTTGCTTTTTCTCTATTTTTAAACAAATTATTAATGTGGTCAGTTTTCATTATTACTATGATCACTCTGCAAGTGGTGATAAAAAAATGAGAACACAATTGCTAACTCATGTCTACCTAACCTAAAGCATAAGCAAGTTCGTAAGCCTAAAGTTGCTAAGAAACCTGTGATCTTCCTCAAAAGTTCATTTCCAGCTGTTGCACTGAGATCCAACTCTACAATCATATTTTTGCTATTATTTTCCCTGCCTATTTCTACAATAAAGATTCAAGGCTCATCAATTTATTTATCCTTAACAACAGTATCTCTTCCAACGCATTTGAATTCTAAGCAAGCACAGGACAGAAGAGAAGAAAGCTTGCCAGAGTCCTGCAGCTGATCAAAGAGAGCTAGCCAAAGTTGGCAGCTGACAAGAAGCCTGAGCTAGTAATGTAATCCAGAGTTCTCAACTGCTAGTTTGATGTGCAAGTCACAGAAATGTCAGCAGCAGCCAGACAATGCAGAAGCCTAATTGTAGGTTGCTGAGAATGTACTGCTATGCACTATGCAGATGCAAATACATTAATGTCAGTTCACATTTGGAGCAAAACCGGAGGCTTTTCTTTAGAACTCTTGATAATAAAAACCTGGTTTTCCTCTAAACTGAGATGTTCAATCAGTGAACTCAATGTTGAAGTTAACAAAATAGCAAAGAAACTAATATGGAAATATCCTCAATAGATACAGTTAATGTTAGCAACACCATCTTTTTATTTTGGGTCTAATGCTCTCAGCTTCAGGCAAAGAGAAATACATACTAACAGCAGAAGACCATGAGATCCAGCCTTTAAAAATAAGCACTATAATCACAGCAATATATATCCTCTGCTCCACTTTAAGTGGAGTATCATGAAGCACTTGTGAGGCCAGCTTAAAATAGGTGATACATTATGGTTTTAATCCACTGAGTAGGAAGTATAATGAATCCAACAGCATCAGGAGACAAGAATTGTGGTGAAAATTCTGCATTCTACAAGAATTTTGTTACTCTTTTTGTTTATGCAAATATTTTGCTCTTTAATAAGCATAAAAATTAGGAGTTTCTAAAAACAGCAAAATAATTTCTTTACTAGTGATTTGATCCTAGCTACTCTAGCTTTTACAGCCACCATTTATGGAGAAAACATTGTTATGACATTTATTTTTCTTTTTTTCCAGAGAGAAAGAAGAAGACAGAGAGATGGCTGAATTCCTTCGCACCAAGTTAAAACCCATAGACAAAGCTACACAATCTCCTACTAGTGAGTTCCTAAACATTATGAAAAACAAGAACAGTAGGGAAAACACTTTAAAATGGCTTTGTATGTTTTAAATATGCAAAGTACATTTGAATACCCACTGCCACAACCTGCTTTTGTAACACAAGTAGATTATCTTTTCCAGTCTTTTTCTCATCTGGTTCTGTAGAAGTATCACAGTATCACAGTATGCTAGAGATTGGAAGGGACCTCGAAAGATCATCTAGTCCAATCCCCCTGCCGGAGCAGGAACACCTAAAGTAGCTGTGGAAAAAAAAGCCCTCTTCAGATAAAACACTAGGATATCTGAAGCAAAGTTTACTCATTTACAGCAAGCAAGATGGAAACTAGAGAAAAGACTGCAAACTTCCACAGGTGCCCCAAATTTCTTATATTTACCAGAATAAATAGGCTTTTCCATCACCTCAACCCAAATTTATGGATCTGCAAACACATTTCTCAGAAACTAAGCGGATTATATAATTCCTTGGAAGCTTTTAGCTGCGATTTTTAAACAAATACAGTCACCGTGCTCTAAAAGTTAACAGGGTCTGACCCGTCATAAACTGAGCTCTTAAGCAGGGAGACAGTCAAGTGCAAGTGGTGCCCTTCTTAGTGGATTTGGTCCGTCAACTGCAGAGGTTTGTATCCAAACACACTGCCATTTTGCACAAATGATCTTAAAGAGTTTCTAGAGAGACGTGGAATGACCATGAAGTTCAAGTACCAGGTTAATAAAGACATTTTAAGATGCTTCACTAATTGTTTATACCCCTTTAGTCACAGGGAGCATATCTCATCTCCCTTGTTAACTTCCTTATGTTGCCGCTTTTAAATACAATGTTAAAGATTCTTTTCACCCTGAAAAATTAAAGTCTACCTTTATCTTGCTCTCTTAATTACAGCATCCAAGGTGATGAAAGAATAAACTGTAGCAATATTTTTGTTTAACTCCTTAGTTGTTGGGGTTTAAGCATAGTAAGATGACTTTCTGTAGAAGGACGTATTATCTGACTCTAAGGCTGTGAAAAGGGACACCTGGATTGAACAAGGAGCAAGAAGTTTACTCCCCCTCCCCCACCCCCCAATGAGATGTCTGGATTCTTCAGCCAGTTGGACTCCACATACCAGCTTGGTTACTGCGAAGTGTTAGAAGTATTGTTTTAACAAGATATTTGGGGAAGACGGGGTTTTGGGTGCAGACAGCAGGAAAGGCTTGCATTGTTTAAGCCAGAAGTAGGAAGAAAGAGTTTGACCAGCTCTTGGTTTTAATGGTGTCTTGTTTTGAACATTGCAGGCAGCCCAGCAGAAAAGAAGGCAGAACCTCCTCCAAGCAAGCCCACCATTGCCAAGGCAGGATTGGCTATTATTAAAGATTGTTGTGGGGCCACACAATGCAACATCATGTAGCTCTGGGCTTTCTACCATGTTTGTCTTTTTAAATGTTTTCATTGAATGAAACTGTGTAGAGTGAGGGGAACTAACAGCATCCTGCTAACAGAATCAAGAGCAACTGGTACAACAGTTATGTATGGAATGTGCAATGGCAGGTTCTTCACTGTTGCATGGATCACTCAACACGCATGCCTAAAAACAAAAGAAATATATATAGTGGCTGTCCAGTGACCAGAAAAGATCTGTAGTAGAGTCAACAAAAACACCCCACGATAGAAGTGAATCAAAAGAGGGTATATTTCATGCAGTAAGGTGTAAAATGGCAATTTTAATAGGTCAACACTTGGTAAGAATGTTGTACACTTTTCCCTTTGACAAACTGTGCTCAAAAATTGCTAAAGTACCCATTTTGGCTACTTTTCAAAACAAAAGCCACAGTAGTATATGCTGTATATAGCACAACTGATAGATGAAGCAATTTCAGGATAACTGATGTTGCATACAGAGTCTTTATCAAACTACTATGATCTTCAACTACTTTGCTGTGGATTTTCACTTCAAATTCTTTAGAAAGAATGAGGATCAGTGACGATGTTGCAAGTAGAGAAAGATTTTTATATCCCATGTGATTCCTAAATTACTCAAGTCAGATTAATATTGCTTACACCAAAAAAAAAAATCTGATGAAGCTTTAACAAGCAGAGCTACAGTAACTGCAAACAGATGTAGTCCAGAGTTGTACCATTTCTGTTTTAGATTTGCACCTCACATGGAGTCACAGAAATATTTACCCAGAGAGTTTTGTCCACTATTAGAAGTTACATGCAATACAACATTATGTAGCACTGGTAGGTTGCTGGGAGGAGAGTGGAAGACAAACAATTTAATATTTAAACAACACTTAAAACAACTATTAATTGCATATGTCATGACCACAAGAAATACAAACTTTCAAGCATAGGAGAACAGTAGTCACCCAAGAAAAATTGACCACAAGACAAATATACAAATACAGAAGGAGATATTTGTGGTAGAGAGATCACATTCTACACAAAATGGGTTTAAAATTAAGGGAAATACAGAAGGACTTACCTGTGTTTCACTACTAAATGTGTTTCTGGTCTCTATGCAGATTAAGCCTTGTGGAATCTAATATATTAGCTGTCAGTAGCTGGTTTGTCTGTGTGATGGTACTTCATATAAATGTACTGTGATAGGTGTAAATAGTAAAATAAATGTATATGGATCTAATGTGAAAATCTCAGGCTTAGAAATAACAGATAGCAAAAAGTTCCTAAAATAAAGTTCTTCAAGAGGAACTTCCATTTTTTGAAGGCAGTTAAGTGACATCTGCACTTCTATATAGAAAGGAACCACAGCTATAGGAAAGGAAAGAAATAGCAGCAGTTACCCAAAAAGGCTAAACAGTAATTTATTTTTTTTTAAAAGAAAGTACCTTTAAATTCAAGAAGATATACGTAATGTAAAGTAACCCAGACTATTCCTGTACAAATAAAACCTAATCCCTAGCATCAGACTGATTCAGTGAAGAAGACTTGTTTTTCCAGAATAATTTGTTTCAGTATTGCAGACTCCCTTGAGACAAAGAACCTATGCCACTAAGTTCCTCAAGGTTTAAGGACCAAGGAAGAAAAAAAAAAACCCCACAAAACGATTCCACTAAGATATGTCACACTTGTACTTGCTTTGACCAAAGACACAGGAAAAAGGACATCACATATCCAAAGGCTGAACAGTCATATATAATTATTGCATCCTTGTTAATAACATGTATCACCACATTAAGCTCTGTAGCTGTTAATAGCTATTGTATCTGGTATGGGTTGGACTCTCTACAGCACCTGTGTACATTAACAGTTATGGAGAAAACTGCTTTTAAGGAAGAGTAGACACTGGAGGGGAAGAAACACCCACTGGCTTCTGGAAAATTCAGCCTCTTGAATTTGCTGGTACCCAATTAAGATGTCAGGAATTATCAATATCCTAAGGCAGATGTTCAATGGCAGTAATAAAGGCAAATGGAAGTTCAGAAAGAACCTGTAGTGAAGCACCAAACTTAAAGCCTTAGAATCAACTGTTACAACCAAGTATTGTGAATGCTAGTAAGTAAAGGGTCCTGAAGAACTTGGCACACAGTTTTTGTAAGGCAAGAGGTGACTTAACACACATCAGTGTTTAAACCAGGCTGTGCTGATGACTGAGGTGATCCGTGCATGCTGCACAGAATCTGTTCCTTTAGGAAGAAAAATGAAATCAGTAGAATGTAGGTTTGTATGAGAAAACTTTTACTAACCGGAAACAGAGCTAGTCATTCCTGGGATTCAACACTTATGACTAGGCTACAGAGCTCCCTTTTAATTAAAATGAAGAGAAAGCGCAGCAAGTATGAATATGTAGTATTCATATCCAGTTAGCACTGGTAGCCAGTGCCCCAAAAGGACCTACCTAGAGCAGTGTTAGTGAGAGTGAACTTCATTTTCAGAAGTTCTAGCGTGGCTCAGCTGAAAAGTTTTCTTTGTGCGAGTTTGTTTTGCTTTTAGTTAGCAAATGCTTCAGTTCTGTTTCTATTTGGGTGGGTTTGAACAGCTAGCCTGCAGTGCAGCAGTGGTTCCTTTAGAAGGGGGTGATGCTGCTTAGCAACAAAGTCCTGGATTTTTTCAGACTGAGGTCAGACTCTCAGCTGTGTTCTGCAGTGGCTTAGTGTTGTCCATCCAGAACACAGTAGAGCTCTAATGGCTTACTTTTACATATAACTGTTGTAAATTGAACAAATTAAACTTAAGAAGGAACTATGTGTGTAAGAATCTTGGTTCTTGTTTTTAAAAGTCAGACTAAACCCCTGAGTACTCCCAAGAACAATGAAGGGCTTTGCAGCTTCCATGATCCTATGAACACAGCACATTATTACAGCAACCCCCATATGTAAAATCAGTAGAAAGTATCAGACAAGGATCTTTAGGTGATTACATCGAGTAACTGACATAATTTCAGAGCTGATTTTCAGATACCTGTTCTTGTCTGCAAAGAAAGAGGGACGTCAGTTGATCCAAAATCTCTTCTGGACATCCTGGCTGTTTATCACTTCAGAAAGAAAGCAAGGCATCAGAAAATGAACAAAATAAGGTGGATTTGACACACTGTTCCTATATGAACGTGGCTATATTCAGGAAAGGATCCTGGTCTACTGAGAAAAACAAAGTGCTGAAGTGCTATTTGTACTAATCACTAATTCTACCAGCAAATGGTTCTCTTGTACCTTCACCATGGCCTACTGAATCTCTTCAGCAAAGTTAAAACGTATTTCCAAATAAAATAAGCTGCTGTGTTATACCAAGTATATGTTTCTTCCTGTTACTGAACGAAATAAGTGGTTATGGAATAGAGTGGAATGCACTTACTGTTCTGCTACACTTTTCAAAAATAATAAGATGATTATTCTGCAAGAAAGGAATCATTTGGTGAGTTAGTGATGCTATTGGAATACAAATAAAAGGATTTTGTCTCACTGAAAAAAAAAACAAGTTTCTGCAGCTCCACAAACAAAACCACCAAAACCCCCAATCCCATTACACTTCTAGGTGACTTTGAAACCTCACTACATACAGCCCAGAGCACTGCACAGATTAGAAGATAGTTTTCAGCCCTACATTGAGAAGATAAAGTTCCCAACATATTTGGGTATCAAAACCATTGCCAGTGCAGAAGAGTGTAACAGCAATTGAAAAAAATAATACCCAGCACTGCCTGATGTAACGTACTAATGTAGGGCACTCTGGAGATCTCAGTGACCAGAGGCTACATGGGAATGAGATGTAATCAAGTGCATTGAGGTGTGGATCTCATGTTGCTGCTTTGCTCTCACTGCTCCAACCTTCATCCTGTGGGAAGCAACACAATGAAATCAAAGCTTATATTAACTAAGTTACCATGTTGAGAGTCAACTAGGAACATCCGTCACCACTTGTATTATATCATCTGAACAAGAATGCAGGCTACAATAGGGGACTGCAAAAGGTAACTAGGGCATGCTTTCATCTTTGTGGCTGGTGACAATACGCTCATGTGTGCTTGAAGCTTTGTCACACTGTCTTCCTAACACAGGCATAAAAGCACATTTTCATCTGCTACTAAGCAGGTGGTTGAGAAGTTTTCCCAATATTCTGTTCAGCTTGATCTCAAACCATGCCACTTGGAACTATAACATTTACAGCAGATTGAAATCAGTGACTTCAAATTACAGAGTTCTGTGTAAGGTGTGTAGAAATACACATACACTACCCACGTCCATACTCCCTGTCTCTGAAGCAGTTAAAATTTTTACTGGCATTTCAGAGACGGCTCCTGGAAAGTAAGAGTTTGACTACCGGCTACAAAAGCAAGAAGATCTCAGACTCCTTCTGCAGTTAAAAGTGATGTATTTGCTTGCTTTTCTTAAATCCCAAGAGTTCCACTGATCGGAGCTTTCACCTCAGCCTCATGATTGTATCTGAAATACAGGAAAAAGTTGTGCTTTATGACACCACTAGTACTGAAGCTTTTGTAAACACACTTATACTGGTACTTGCCTGTGTACCTTCAGGCCAGAAACCCACTATGATGAATTAGCTTTGTTTCACTGGGCAATCAAAGCTGCTCTAATAAAACACCATAAACACAAAAGCTCCTTAGCTACTGGACAGCATGGGAGACTGTCACTGTAATCTTATCTTCTGTAACTAGCACAAAATAAACCTGAGTGACAAAGTCTTAAAACCCTCAATCAACTTACATTGAACAAATACAGGTCTATGGAGAAGTTATACCTGGGACACAAGATTATCTAATGAACTGCAACTACCACAGGCACTGTTGAATACGCTCCTCCTGAAGCACAAGATCACGGTGTCCCTATTAGCAAAATCAAAGAGACAAACCACGAGAAAGCAGCAGGGCAATCGTTACCTCTATTTACAACTGCTTATTTTAAAACTAAGTGTATCAACTAAATGAAAGATTCAGCTTCCTCCTGGGAGTCATGAATGTGACTACAGAGTTGAAATTAAAATCATCCACTTGTTTCTCAGGCGAGTTCATGCTGTTAGATAGTGACTGATGCCCAAGACAACCCACACAAGTACATCTTCCCTGCAGGCAAACAAATGACAGATTCTTTCCTACAAACACTTTCCCTTTCAGGATCCAAGTAAGACCATCTTGAGTAAGATTCTGCTGTCTTATTAACTGTGCTGCAGGAGCCTCAGTACCAAGACCATACCCAACTGTGACAAAATTCTATGCAAGTTAAAAGTGAAATGTATCATGAGTTTCAGCAGGAGATTTAAGAGATCATTTATACATCTGAAGAAAGTTAAGAAGTAGAAACATACGTCCTTAGAAAGCGATGGCAGAGTCCAGAGTCAAACTGAGGGTGGGTGATCTTGACAACAGTGCAGTCTCAAAGTGCCTCAAGGCAGACAGTAAGGGAGCTCAAGCGGCATTCCTGGTGTCCTTTCCGACCCATCAATATATACACTGTGCCCAGGACACCCAGAACCTTGATAACAGTTGCCATAAGATTTCAGAGCTGGAACATCTCCAAGAACTCCACCCATGCCCAAAGGTGTCACAGCAGCACAGCTTCAGGACTAGGACACCTCAGTGACCAGGCCTTACCCCATGCTGCTCCCAGCCTGTTTGCTAAAGCTGCAGGTGAGGGACCTGCAGAGTTTATGTCACAGCTGATCAAATAACTGCTGCCCTGATGAACATTCAATCTTAAGGCTTGGGCTTCTACCAAAAATTGCTTCAGGTATAATGGGAGAGTAGTGTAAGAACACTCAAAACCAGCAAAGATAATGCTCACTAATTTCTTGTTCTTGGAATCAATTACCTCATCCCACCTACACCAAAGTAGTCTTGGGGCTTTTTTGTTTTTAACCTGTAGTCTTTATCACACAATGTTTTCTGGCAGAAAGTCCTTTTTATTACTTTTGAATCCAATAACCGAAAGGCTGACTTCAGACTTGTGCCCACAGCATGACATACAGTAGCGCGTTGACATCCAAGTAACCATCTGACCTTCTGGAATGCCTGAGGCTTTATCACATCCTGTACCCCAGCACCACAGAGTAAGGCTGTAGGCGAGTCTGCTCAGCATTGCTGTATGTGCCATATACCAAGTAGAACAGCATCTGGCAGTAATACAGGTTCCAAATCTCAATGTGAAATGAATGTCAACTCAAAATAAGCCTGCAACAGCTGATGTTCCTCACCTGAATTAGCACAAACTTACTTCTGGCACAATGTCATAGCTCACAAATTGCTTGGCTTCTGAGCTGGCAAAGGCTGCTCTATAGCCTCCTTAGATAGGCATACAAGGCTTGGTTATAATCACTCCAAAGCCTTATTTGGCACAGATATATTTTAAAGGAAATATTTTGAAGGCTTTTACTTTAGAACTGTAAAGCTCAGCAGATTTGTTTCCAGAGGGATCACCTGTATCCTCATGAGTCATAGGAACACTCCAGTTTCTATCATTTGTCTTGGGACTAAGAACGATCCCTTCCAACACAAAATACAGAACTAAGCACCAAAAGCATAAGTCAGGTATTTTTATGCCTTGTCTGTACCTACAGAGACCATCTGTAAAAGCAGGATGATCTTGGTACAGGAACATCTCGCTCAACTTTTCAGATGGCAAACTATCTTAGTGAGGGCAAGGAATTTATGTATCTATCATCTTGCTACAGCACCATTATACTTCCTTGCAGGCATTACACCTATGCTTTGGGCAAAGTCCAGATTATCTTGAAAGACCTGCAGTATATGGATCCTTCACGATACTGACCACAAGCTTTTGGAAATACTATTTTCAGAAAGTTTTCCTATTCTTCCCCTAATCCATTTATGATTATTTCATCCTAGCACTCTCACCTCCAAAAGCACCTTGGAAGTTTCCACATATTTGTCACATTCCACCCTCACATTCCCCTCCCACACCTTTAAAAAACCCCACGAAATATGAAAGAATCTCTGGTTAGAGGAATACAACCTGAACTGTTCCTCTCCCTCCCTTTGCATAACTTGATTTTCTCCAAATTCCCTTCATATATTAAATGCTTATCCTTTTCTTCAGGTAAAATTATTTACCTGCAGTCTGATCAGGTGCTTTGGTCTCACTGCATAATATCTGTACTATCTTCTTTATTTCAAGCCTGTTGGTAACAACCTTCAGTCATCACTTAAGACTCTGGTCCCAATACATTCGAGATACCCTCAAACGCACTTCAAACTGTCCCTTTCAGTACAACTAGCATGGTTAGGTTTCTTCTGTCAAGCCTGTCGCTAAACTGTTTAAATGCTTAGGAAAAACAAATAGAAAACTGTCAGTGGCTATTGGCAAAAAAACCTCAAACAAATTATCTCCTCCTTAGCCAGCTATTCTGGATACAAGGCAGCTGAGGGTGAGACAGGACTACTGGAGCATATAAAGAAGGTCTTAAAACTGATTTATCTTCGAGAAGCCTTTTTTACTGTAGAGAAAATGCTCGTTAAGTACCTTGAAGGGGCATCTCAAATTCCCTGTCAAATGGCATTCACTAAATCAATCTGTTTCCTGTAGCATATGTATAGCACTATGAACCATTTTAATAGCCACCTGAATTAATATTTTCTGATTTTTTGCATCTACGTAATATTAAACATAAAACAGTCAGTACAAGAAAGAATTCTACATTAGAAGCAACGTGTGCTGGAAAAGTATCACAGAATGTTTTGGGGTTGGAAGGGACCTTAAAGATCATCTAGAGACATTGTACCTTGTTCTCTGAACACAACTAAACTGTGGGAAAATACCAGATTTCTCTAGGTATGCCAATTGTTCCATAGCACACATTCACTGTAAGAGATCATACTATACATTAATAAAATGGTGACTATAGTACCTCAGCATCTTTCTACTGCCACACAGACTGAACAGGTATCAAGGTCAAGCTCTGAATGAAACGTCACTTAAAGGTTTTCAAACTCAAGTTTTCAAATGCACAAGAGATTCAATATTTAAATGGCAAAAAAGGTTAACATGTTTCAAGGGTTGAAGACAAGAAATTGACAAGAGTAAAAGGAAGGGTTACTCACAGACTGATAAGCAAGCTTCCTAATACTCAGTTTTCAGTTGCTTGCTTTCTGTAAACAGCTATCTAAGCAAAGCAAAGGCAGACCATGTCTTTTTCCTCTAAGAAATCAGTTTTAGTTTCCCTGCCAAAATCCTGAGACTGTTGAAAATACAGAAAGCAATCTGCTCTTTGTGACCAATGCCCTCAGCCTATTCTACAGAGGCTGCTCTCTTTC